TGTGGTCAACATAGTGAATTGTAAAAGGAATGATAACGTTAATGGTAACTCTAGGCAGAGTTTCTACTAGCACCCAGTATTTACTTAGCTCCACTTCCACATGAATGATGGTAGTGCTCGCCTTACCCTCCTTCTGCCAGTGTCTCAAGGTTATGGAGAACTCCACAGTGCCTCAAACCCTTATCTTTATTAACAATAGTTTAGGATTTTGTGCCAAGGCAATGTTACTCAGTAGGAATTCAGTGAATATCACATCTGTAGCCTTGTTATTGTATACTCTTCTAGAATATGGAGGCTAAATGGTTCAAAGGCTTCTACATTACATTTTGAATAGCCCAGCACCTTTGTTCTAAAAATAAATACACAATTTAAAAATAAATAATTAAGTGGGTTCAAACCAGAAGCTTACATTGCTTTTGACGATATGCACATTTGATCAGCTGTTGAAAGAGTTGCAGTTCAGCTGTGCTGAGCTAAGATTTAGTGACAGGGGCACACAGGGATCAGACTCAAAGGCAGAAACTTAGCCTTTTCCTTAGTGGACAAGAAATAGGTATGAGACTAGTTGACACAGATAGGTAATACACAGTACTGGAAGCTGGGTACTTTCCAGTAGGGTGGAAGACTGGTATGGCCAATCTTTAGGCCAAGATTCAATGCAGAACAGTAAGAACAATTGTTAAGCTCATCCTTACTTGGCAAATCATGTCAGTTTATGCTTATCTTTAACTTGTGATTACTGAAGATAATAAAATTTATGTGTGCACTTAAAATTAGGCAACGACTTTTGTTGAAAGGTCATCCATAATATGCTGAGGAGAAAGTAGTTGGCCTGCCATGGCCAGGAGAAGCTGCTTTTATGTAAGGCTGCATGACAAGGTAAAAAACAGGCAAAACTTTTTGAAGATTCCTCATCCTCACTTCCCACTCCATATCCTCCCACCTTCCTAAATTACTCTTTTTACATCTCAATTGATGGAAAGACAAAGAAACCACTGTAAGTGAGCAGAGCTGCAAAGTGAGGCAAAAATTGCAAGGGGCAAGACTGAGAAAAACAAGTCTAGTCCAGTCTGAGAGTATGAAGCAAAATCAACAGAAGGCAGCTAAAAATGTACATTGACAAAGAAGGACAAAGAGTTTTATAAGCATTATTGCCGCAGTCTGTTAAAGCATTTGCAGCAGAAAAAAAGATAGAAGAAAAATTGATGAGTAGAACTAATAGAATAGAAAGGATAAAAAATTAGCAAAATTATTAAATTTTTCATAATTATTTTAAACAATGGAGCACATGGTCTAGTATTTTAAGAGTTATGCATTTGTACACATCTTTCTCATTGTTTTGTATGACGCTCAAGCATAGGATTAAAATTCTTTGCTAGAGAGGAGTATTTTTTCTGAAATCAGGCTGGAGAGCTACTTGAACAGGAATCACATTTCCAGACATAGATCCAGGCCCATGTGTGATGCTGTATTTGAAAATACTGTGTGCACATATCGCACAGAGAATACTTAATGTGCTTGAAGCTGGCACCATGCTTGAGCACCCTGTTACATTGTGGTGTGAGTGAGAAGGTAAAGGCTGCAGAAGAAAAAGAAAATACTTGTGAAGGATTTAGGCATTTCTCCAGCTTGCTTTTTTACTGTAGAGTACTTACTATTGATGCTGTAACTTGTTGTGCAGACACTTAAGAAAAGAATTCTGCTCACATATCTGATATGGCTTTGAAATTCAGACTTTGCCATTTCCAGGTCCAGGTAACATTTTAAAAAGAATAACTGGTTTTAATGAGAAGGGATAGAATTATATCTCTTTTTCTGAGAGGAGATAGAAGATAGACAGGAGAGGATAGATAGGAGAGGATTCTGACAGCAGGTAAGAAGCCCTACACTAGGCTTTTAGGGAGCTGAAATCTAAGCTTTAGAAAAAACTTGAAATTTAAAAATTAACTCTTCACAAACCAATTCACTGATTCATTTATTTTTAGTAAATATAGTGAGAATATGTTTGGGTTTATTAAATCAACATGACAAAGGAATACCTATTTTGGAGACAGAAAATATCAACTTATGGAGGTAAAGCTGTAAGGATTAAATACCATACCTGACTAGTGCCGCGGTCCTATAAAAAATAACGAGAAATTGAGGAAAACATTAGAAGCATGCACTTTAAGCTTTTTCCTAAGTTAAACTTATTTGAAATTGAAACAACCCAGCTACCTTTTTTACATCTGTCTTTTCTTGGGTTTCTGTAATGCCAATATCTGCACAACCTTTAAGACATATACATTTTCAGCTTTTAAATAATTTTTAAATTCCTTTTATTTATAGGCTTTATATCATTATTCACTTAGTCTAGATATATATGACAAATAAAGAAGGTGCTCATGAGTCTCTTGGTCTTACACTTCCCTTTGGAAGCAAGATTAACTGAATATTAAAAACCTGGGAGGATTACCCAAATGATATCTGTATATCAGTGGTTTTCAACCTGTACTCTGCCATCTGGGGATCTCTGGATTACTCCTGAGCAGTCTGTAAAAATTGAGGAAAGTCCCAGCTGACTTCAGTTGCTTAAAT